GAAACATTTTGTCGAAATCCAATGAACACTTCAGTTTCTTTTCTTACTGTTAAATTGAGACAAAATTACATACACATTTTAAAACTTAAAACATAAGCTTTGCTGGAGGATGACTTCATTTTTTATAAAGACGTCTGCTGTCTGCCTGAAGTCCTGATCCCTCCTCGCAGTCACACTCACAGTGGTCCTATGCTCTAAGCCCCCATCCTGGCACCCTCTCTCACTTTTGCCAAATCTATGTACTTGGGGTTGCAGGAATTAAGCATGCTTTCTACTGTGTCAACTGCAAAATTCCACTAGTTAATATATATAATTCTCCAGAGCATAAATTTATACCAAAAGACCCTGAAATTTAATTTGTGGTTACTTAGGGAAAAAAGAAAATTCCACTTCAAAATCATTCCCAATAGTACCAAATGACCAGCACCTATTGAGTGATTACTGTATGCCTGGTGCAGCTATATTCACTTAAAATGCTCAGTGTGAGGGAGTCTAATTTTTCTTAAAGGGCTTTTTAAAAAAAAAAAAAAAGATTTATTTATTTATTTGAAAGGCAAAGGCAGAGTTAGAGAGGCGGGGGTGGGGTGCGGTTGGGGGAGGTCTTGTGTCTGCTGGTTCACTCCCCAGATGGCCGCAACAGCCAGAGCTACACTGATCCAAAGCCAGGAGCCAGGAGCTTCTTCTAGAACTCTCATGTGGGTGCAGGGGCCCAAGCACTTGGGCCATAGCAAAGAGCTGGATTGGAAGAGGAGCTACTGAGACTCAAACCGGCACCTATATTGGATGCCTGCACTGCAGGTGGCAGCATTACCCAATACACCACAGCACCAGCCTCAAGGGCTTTTGATTTAAGTGGGGCAGATGACACACTGCCAAAGTTTTTCCTTTTTTTCTTTTTTTCCAAGAAAGGTCTAGCTCCCATCTAAGCTTCCCAAAAGGGGCAAAAATGTTTTGTTGTTGGTGGTAAGCTTTTGCATTGCTTTTCACTTATTAATTTATTCAGGAAAGATACTGAGTTTTGTAAAGCACAGTACTAGATGCTGAGGATGTACTTGTGATTAAAAGAGGTCAAATAACTGCTCAACCCAATAATCAATTGTTGTTGCATGGGATGCTTCCAAATGAGCCATGACCTCATATGGTCTTCTCCCCTGGAATAGGGGATGTGGCACAGGTGATTCTGTAACAGCCCAGCACTGAACACACATTTTTAATTCAGTGGTTTTGTACTTAAAAAATTGTCTGGAGGTTGAAGAATATTATTTGCAAATGTAATGAATGTGATGTTTAAAATAACTAATGGGGTGGGCATTTAGCCTTGTTGTTAAGACACTGGTGAAGATGTCTGTAGCCCACATCAAAGTACCTGGTTCAGTCCCTAGCTCTGGCACCTAATTCTAGCTTCCTGTAGTGCAGGCCCTGGGAGTCAGTCATGATGGCTCAAGTGATTAGGTTCCTGCCACCTGCCACCCATGTGGGAGACCCGGATTGCATTTCTGGCCTCTGGCTTCAGTCTTGGTCTAGCCCTGGCTGATGTGGGCATGTGCAGAGTAAACCAGTATGACACAAACTCTCCCTCTCTCTCTTTCTGTTTCCCTCTGCCTAACTAAAAAAATTTAAAATACCTGATACTTCCTTTTGATATTGGAGTCAATCTATAATTTTCTTTTTATCTGAGTAAGCTTGGTTGCCAAATGCTTTGTGTCAATGCAAAACATGTGTGGCTCTACATATTTTACCTCCTTCTTACTTTGAGACCCCATGTGTCTATAGTTGGGGGAGGTGGCCAGCTCTGCTGTGTTAAGTATTCCATCTTTTCCAAGAGGTGTTTCATAAATTATGTATAACAGTAGATGCCACTCAATAAATATTTTATACATGATAGATATTTTTTGTCTGAAATTACTTTTTCACTTGAGCAGTGATTTAAACCCTCATTTTCTGTTTTATGAGGTGACACTTTTATAATATCATGTAGTTGAATGCAGCTTGAATGTCATAGAGCTTTAGGGCAGCATTCATCATAAATTCATCTGTCTGTCCTGCCCCCCACCCTGCCCCCAATCCTGGAGAACTTTCGCTTAATTCAGCTTTTCCCCATTATGTGTACAGAAGTATGTGTGAATGTGTACTTGTGTGTGTTTGGGGCATGGGTGAGAACAAGTAATGCTCTTGACCTAATATCTTAGAAGTTAGGAATTTCTGATGCTCTTCAAAGTCTGAGATTTACTTAAAGAAGAGGGGAAAAAAGTTCCTTTCAATGATTAAAAAAAGAAGAAGAAGAATGTTAAACTGACCTTGGCTATAGTCCAAAGTAATTTCTCTAGTCTTAAGCAGAAGCTACTGGAGTTTAAAATATTGCCTTTTCGTGGAGGAGAGGTTTATTGTCCACTTCTGTGCTGAAAGAAAATGTGTGTGCCTCTAGAGATTTCTGAGAATGGTCACTTCTCACATAGACCGGGACCTGGAACCATTCATTGTCATGGGGTTGCGTACCTTGTGTACAGCACTGTCCTGGGAGGGCATTGCTTATGAAATGGAGCTGAGTGATTAAATTCTCTACTGTAATATATACTTTAAAATAAATCACATACTTCCCACTTCTACTTGAATTCCATAGGTTGGGGGAAAAGCATGAATTCTGCCAACCTCTGAGCTGAAGGAGGAGTAGGGGTGGTTTTAGGAGAGTGCTCCTGGCAGCTAAGATTTGCAAGGGCCTTGCTGTAGTAAATCAAGGTTACCAACGTCCCTGACCTCAAAGCCTGAGCCTCTGAGGCATGGAATGAGAGCTTGGCTGATAAGAGGAGTAATTGAAGAACAATGATACGCTTCATTTCCTTTTCTTGAATCTAAGTTATGCATTGGTCATTTTCTCTGCGTATCTATTTAATGGTTGTTAAATTAAATTGCTTCTTTCAAGTGGTGATTTTATGTGTTTTTTTTAAACCTTTTTTTTAAACCTTTTTTTTTTTTTTTTTTTTTTTTGCCACTCATTCCGTTGTCCTCCTGCATGACTCCTGGTCTAGAGTGGGCATTTGAAATTTACATGTCTGCAGACACAGAGTCCTGGGGGACTTTTCTGTCTTCATCATCCAGCCCTAGAACATCTTAAGAGCTCCTTGTGTAAAAGATTTGAGTTTTGCTTTGATGGTCTTAACATGAGCTCATGAAGTTCTGAACCCTCCATCTAGAGAATGGCGTGCTTCTTAGGTTGTTTTAATATCCAATACATTTATTAATGGTGGGAATGTAAAAAGTAGCAATGACGTTTTGGGCAGTGCTGGGCGGCGAAGTTACCAAGCTGTGTCTTGGTCTTTGCTGGCTGATTGCAAAGGTGGAAGAGGTGCGGTAGGTCAGACCAGGAGCCCTCATTATCAGCTTGGGATTTGTTCCCTAACTGCTCCCATCACCCTGCAGCTGCAATGTCCTGCACTTGGATGTGACTCAGTCTGTACTTGGCACAGCTCTACCTGAAGACTGGCATTTTAACCTAGAATTTGTCTGCTTCCCATCTCGGACATCCCTCAAAGCCTGATTTTAGAGCTCCTTTGTCTTGAGCCAGATGGGCCAGATGAGTTGATGCTAATACGTGGTCCTTCCAGTGCTTTCTCTGTGTGGTTGCTTCTGCCCCTCCTTTCTATGTTCCTCTGGACTTGGTGTATCTGCTTATTTATTAACAGATGTTAACTGAGGAGCTACTCTGGGTCTGTTATTGCAGCAAGAGATGTAAAAGGTCAGTCCTTTGGGCCAGGGAGGAGTGGTGCAGGTGGTTTAACATCACCAGATTTGCGACATATGTTTAAGGTAGAGTTCACACTGTGGATGCAGAGTTTAGGGAAAGAAGAGAACAAAGGTTTTGGTTTTTAACTGTAAAAATCGTTGGCATTTATTCCAATGGAGTAGTCTGCAGGCCTGGAAAACAGGTGGGAATCAAGGGTAGGAACTGTCTGTTTGGTATCCCCACAGGTATTTGTGTTGGGTAGATGGATACACACACACACACACTGTACGCACAGAGAGAGAAAGGGAGAGGGAGAGAGAAATGAGTTGGGAGGAGATATATACATATATATGTGTACACACATGAGACACACACACACACATACACATGAGTGGCTATGTATACACAGAGGGAGACACACACAATTGGGAGGAGATGTATACACACACATATATATATATATGTATACACACATGAGGATACACACATAGGTATGAGTTTTAAGGGAGAGGTCAGCCCTGGAGATTAAAATTTGAGAATCAAAAGTATATAGATGACAGGAAAAGTCAAGAGAATGATGTGACCAGTAAACAGGTGAGTGTAGGTAGAGTAGCAAGGATGAGAGCTTCCAGGCAGTGGGTTCAAGAGAGAGTAAGAAGGGAGGAGCTGGAGAAGCATAATTGTAGGGGACATTTCAGAGAGGATGTTCTCTGAAGAGGCACACGGAAGCTAGTGGTAGCTGCAGGGAGACACAGGGCCGAGGGTGGTGGTTGATGGGGAATGGGAAAGCAGCTGTGTATGTATGTGAAGTTGATGCAGCAAGAGACAGAGGGACAGGTTCCTCTAGTGCAGTGGTAGCTCATGGAAAGGACAGGGTTGCTTTGGGCAGCATGCGTGGTTCAGCTGGAAAGAAGAGTCAGCAATTAAGGAAACTTCTAGATATTAAGTGAATTAAAGATTCTGAAGAGGGAGAAATATAACTTCGCAGTTGTGTGGCCCTAGAATCTTTCCTAAGGAAGGTAGGATTTCAGACTAGTTTTGAATCAGGCAAGAAGTTTAACTTACTTTGTATTAAGCTTTTTATGTGTTCCAAGTTCACTTTCCGTGTTGTCTGTCAGAATTCCAACCAGAAATTTAAATGGAGTTTAAAGTCCATTCTTCTTGCAGTTTTGGATAAAAAAAATACAATATTGCTCATTTTAACCATCTGAAGAACACCTACTATGAAATTCTCTTTACCTAATGTAACTTTTTCCCCTTCTTTTTGTCCTAATTTCAGGAACAAACCCTCGCCCTTAGGAAAGAAGGGATTGGAGTGGTTCTGGATTCTGAACTCCCACATTTGATTGGCATTGATGATGACCTTCTGAGTACTGGAATCATCTTATATCATTTGAAGGTAGAAGCTGCTTAAGTGGAACATTCTAATGTTGTTGCCAGTTTTCCCTGTAGACACTTGCAAAGTTTATTATAATACTTTATGACCATGAACACAACTATTAAATTAAGGAATATACAACAAATCCTTGAGCCCTTTGGGCATTTTCAACGGTTCATTGAGATCTTTTGGTATTTGAAGTTCCCTTTGTTATGTAGTTCTCAAGCTAGATGATGAAAATGCTTTCCATTTTTCAGAATCACAAAGAGGGAAGTAAGGAACAAAAAGTCAGATAGACTGAGGAAGAAAAGTTATAAGCACCTGCAAATGGGACTTGTTACACATATAGTTTGACTGGTGATAACTATAAAATTGCGCCTGTCACCTAGATTATTTGGCTTGGTTCTAAGCAGACTATTAATGTCGAGAGAGCAGAATTCCAGATCAGTGATTGCCTCTGTGACCTTGATACTGTCCTCGCTATAACTTAAATGAGAATGATACTGTACTTGACTTCAGGGGTCTCCCATGTGTCTTTTGAGAAAAATGTATTTGTTCATTATTTAATTTTGAGAGAGAAACAGAGAGCACTCTCATCTGCTGTTTCACTCTCCAAATGCCTGTGACAGTTCTGGGTTGGAGGCTGGAGCAGGGGGCTGGGAACTCAATCTAGTTCTCTCACGTGAGTGACAATAACCCAACTGCTTTGAGACCTCTCCACTGCCTCCCAGGGGCTGCATCCGCAGCAAGAGGGCATCGGGAGTACAGCCAGAACTGGAACCCAGATGCTCTGATAGGGAACATGGACATCTAGTTGTTGTCTTAATTACTAGGCCAAATGCCTGCCACTTGTATAGCTATAGTCACACACGTGTGCGTGCACACACACACAAAGAAAACCCTGACCACTGAAGGAGAAATTTCTGAAGAAGAGCAGGAGTGTCAATGAGATGGCTATCATGAACAAATCACTGATGTGCGTCAGAGTAGAAGATTAACCACACTTAGCCTCAGGAGCTGTGTTGTCCATTTCCAGATAACCAGGTATTGTTACACTGAGGCTGTGTAACACTGAGGCTGATGGGACAGTGCTTGTCCCATCAGTCACCAGTTTACCTGGGCTTACAAGGAAAACAGAGAAATAAGCTGTTTTTGTTATTTACTGATCAATTTTACTTGACTTTTCTTCCCAGGAAGGTCAGACGTATGTTGGTAGAGAAGATGCTGCAACAGAGCAAGATATTGGTGAGAATCTTTTTCAGTTGTCTCTTACCAATGGTTTTTTTAAAAAATCATATTTAATGAAGAACCATCTATAGAATGATTAACATTGAAGTAATATACAAGTAAATACCTTTTCCAAATAAAATATTGACTAATGTATGTGTTTCATAATTTGGAGCACAACTCAAGTGAGTAACACAGAAGAGTTAATCCTTATATATATGAATCCTTATATACATTCTCTACCCCATGAGGCCTTTTGAGAATGTAGATAGTTAAGTCACTCTACACTTGTCACAGTGGGGTAATGATGGACAGAAATATGCCTACAGATACAAGTGAAGAATATAGCACCTGTACAAAGATGAGGACTAAAAGTAGGAGAAGCAGAGCGTACACACAGAAGGGGGCTCGACTTTCTGGGATCCCAAGCATTTCCACAAGGCATACAGACAACCAATGATTTAGCTTGTGCCACGGACGTCCTGCCAGACTTCCGGAGCACATCTTGGGGAATCTGGAAGCGGTGGAAGTAGTGATGGTGGGTGTGTATGTGCATGGAGCAAGGTGTGGATTGTCAGGGGTAAAAATTATATCATCTCAGCTGTTTTAAACTTGCTGCTGATGAGCCTACTTTCCCACCAAGTGTAAGCTATCAAGTCAGTCTTAGCATATTTCTAAAAATATTAATATTTACTGTGGGACTGGGAGAGCTGAAAACCAATACACCTAAGTCCCTAAATTCAGCTATTTCCGAATAGACCTCTTGCTTGACTTATGTGCTGGCCTTTGCAGTAGCTATAAATGTTGAGTAGTAAGAACATATGTTTCTTGTGATAAAAATGGTTCAGTAGTACAGTTCCATTGAGAATGGGAACTAGCTGGCCAAGAACTTTGCCTGAAATTGTGCAGGTTTGACAGCCATTCTTACTTGTGCCTGTACATTCCTGAAACAAGAATAACTCATGGTAATCATATGCCATTAGGTGAACCGTAGCAACTGCATTTTCTGAGAGGTCTCAGAATTGGTACAGACAGACTGTGGTAACAAGATTTCCAGTACAGCTCCTGGAGATCTCCTGGGCCTCCCAGTGTCTGCATCATGCCAAGTTCACGTTTGGTTTCCCCTCCTGGAATGCATCTAAGTGCGGAGGTGTTAGTACTTCCTTGGCCCACTGAGCACTTTTGTCCCTTCCATTTTTCTGTGGCCTATGGTGGCTGGTGGACAAAATGTTTTTGTCATCAAACAAAGCAGTTCAATGGCTTTCAGTTGAAACAAGTTGCCCAACTGTTTTCTCTCTGAAGAGGAAATACCATTCCAGAATTCACTTCCTTATACAGTGTCCAGAGGATCCTTTAAGGTAGCAATCAAGGGTGTTGCTATTTCTATCAGTTGGTGCCAGGAACTCCTAAAGTTGTTTTCTCATTAAACATAAAAATTCATGTCACAATTCTTAATATGGAAAAGGAAGGGTATTCAAATTTAAATAAAGTCATAAATAAGTAGTTGGGAAACATTGTAGTAGATACCAAGGGCAAGAAATCTCTTTGTCCTGTTTTTCCACCTTAGTTCTTCATGGCCTTGACTTGGAGAGTGAGCACTGCATCTTTGAGAATGTTGGAGGCACCGTGACTCTGATCCCCCTGAGTGGGTCTCAGTGCTCTGTAAATGGTGTTCAGATCATGGAGGCCACACACCTAAACCAAGGTATCTGGGTTTTGCTTTTCAGAGTTCTTTGTATGTATTGTTTGAGAAAAGAATTGTTTAGGGCAGGGGTGGGGAGGAAGGGCATGTGCATCTTAGAATCCATTATTTGACTGGGTCTGAAAAGGATGGAAGTTGCTTCATTGTGCTTTTCTCTTCTGTTTTGCTGGAGGGCTTCTTTATAATACCCATTGTTGGCCAGCGCCGAGGTTCACTAGGCTAATCCTCCGCCTTGCAGCGCCGGCACACTGGGTTCTAGTCCCGGTCGGGGCTCCCAATTCTGTCCCGGTTGCCCCTCTTCCAGGCCAGCTCTCTGCTGTGGCCAGGGAGTGCAGTGGAGGATGGCCTAAGTGCTTGGGCCCTGCACCCCATGGGAGACCAGAATAAGTACCTGGCTCCTGCCATCGGATCAGCGCAGTGCGCCGGCCGCAGTGCGCTGGCCGCGGCGGGCATTGGAGGGTGAACCAACGGCAAAGGAAGACCTTTCTCTCTGTCTCTCTCTCACTGTCCACTCTGCCTGTCAAAAAAAAAAAAAAAACACCCATTGTCTTGCTGAATTACACATGGACATATATATATATGTAATAGTTTTTAAAGTTATTACTATCATAGAAAAATGACATTAAAAGATTTTTTTAAGTTTAAAAGTACCTCTTGAGTGCAATACTTTACCATAATGGTTTCTTTTAATAATTTTATTTTCATTATTTATATTCTTTTTATGACTGGTTATGATTATACATAGAGGATTTGGTATTCCCTCTGTTTTTTGCCTTTGGAAATAATTTCACTATTATAGAAAATAATATTTCCTTGACCTGGTGATACTTTGCTACATAATGATGTACAGTCATGCACATTAGAAGACTGGCACTGACATGGCAGACCCCCATCAGGTTTCACCATCAACAGTGTTCACAGGGCATCCAGTGTGCAATCCAGCATTGTATTTGGTTGCTGCTTCTATCCTAGTCTCTTTCAATCTGGAACAGTTCCCCCATCTTTCATGGGATTGTATGACTTTGGTGATTTTGCGAATGGCAGGTCAGATATGCTGTAGAATGACCCTATAGTTCAATATATGGTCAAGGTAACTTTTCCTGTGGTTAGACTGGTGTTAAACACCATTTGACAGGACTGTCATGGAAATGAAGCTTTGCTTCTCTCAGGTTCTATTGCATGTCTTCTGTTGGTCCCATTACTTTTGAGACTAACCTTGCTCACTTGAGGAAGGTGGAGCTTGCCAGACTTCTTTGTGTGAAGTTACTCTTCCCTGCATTGTTATTAGCAGTTACACTGAAAAAGTACTTTAAGATCATAAATATTCCATTCTTCATCATATTCTCACCCACTGATTTTATTTTTTTGACTGAATTTATTATTATTATGGTTGCAAAAAGCTCATTTTCTTAATTCATCATTTCTTCTCTGTTTATTAGTTAGTTGGCTTTTTATTATGAGAATGAACCTTCTTTTCATTCATTTAAATCAGTAGGGTTGTACAGCGCTTGCTGCTTTATTTAATAGGGTTTAGTCTGTTTTCAACCATTAACTGTTTTGTTGCTGCATTGTCCAGATTTGCCAGTGAGGACTCTGTCGAACTGGTTTCTGTGTCTTTGGTTTGTAGTCATTTGTTCAGTGTTCAGTTCCATACTTTCTGACATGAGATAGTCCAGGCTGATCTTGTACTTTCATGGAATCAACCAGCCCTCCATGGAGCTCTGATTCCTCGTAGGGTCACATAACATTTAATATGGGCACTGCCTTAAGCTTAACATTAAATTTGGGAAGTATTCTTCTACTCTCTTGACTCTTCATAAAAAAGGATTATGGCTCTTTTATTTAGTTTGGAGGAATTTTTATGTAGCTATGACTATGTGTTTTTTTTTTTCTTGTGGATTGAGGCTTGGTAGATAACTAATCTATCTTCAATGCAGTATTTTCAGTAAGTGGTTTCTGATTTAGAAATTGTAGCTAAATGGAAAGTCCATTTAAAAATATTCTGGTTAGTGATTCAGATTAGGATCTAAGTTTCTGATCTTCATGTTGAAAAAGTGACTTGTACTAAGAAAATAGTAATTCTAATTGGCAGTGAAGGTTAATTGTCAGACTCGTCTTTGCCTGTGGGATGCTCTTAATTGTCTTAGTGCAATGGTGGTGCCATGATTTTCAGATCTGATGAGCTTGAGTTCTTCTGGAATTCTGCTGTGATACTGAACAGCTTTCTCAGTATCACTGTTAATGAAATCGACATAAAACTGCTATATTTGATGGTGTTAAAATGCTGTGCACTGTGTATAAATGTCATTAACAAGTCTTAGGGCAGTGAAATGCAAGATGACTTTGTGTTTCAAGGCATTGCATGAGAAAATCAGGGTGGCATCTTTTTTTTTTTTTTTGAATTACACATACTTTAACAGTGAAAGATCCTATTGAGAGAAAAACATCTAGTTCTTCAGAAATCAAGAATTAGAATTTTCCAGCTAACTTTCTTACTGTTTGAGGGTTACTGAAGTGAGAATTGGAACATTTTAGCCAGGAGCCTGAGCTTTATCTGGGTCTCACACATGAGTTCTGGGGCCCAAGCACTTGGGTCATCCTCTCCTGTTTTCCCAGGCATGTTAGCAGGGAGCTGGATCAGAAGTAGAGCAGCTAGGACTTGAACTGGTGCCCATATGGGATGCTGGTGCTACAGGCAACTGTTTATTGACCAGCTGTGCCACAGCACCAGCCTCCTAGAACATGTTTTTAGAACAGAAAATCATATATTATCTTTGGTCACCAAAATATCTAGTAAGAATAAAAACGTGTGAATGGAACTGATATAGAGCTACTTTAGAATACTTTTAACCACTGGAGGACAAGGAGCAGGTTTTTATTGTTTGTGCGTTTTTTGTTTGTTTTTATTCATTTGAAAGGCAGAGTTGCAGAGAGGAGGAGAGAGAAAAAGAGAGAGAGAGAGAGAGGTCGAGAGAGGTCTTCCATCTGCTGGTTCACTCCCCAAATGGCTGCAATGGCCAGGGCTTGGCCAGATCGAAGTCAGGAGTCAGGAACTTCATCCATCTCCCACATGGGTGGAAGGGGTCATCTTCTTGGGTAATCTTCTGCTGGTTTCCCAGGCACATTAACAGGACGCTTAATCATACATGGAGCAGCCTGGACCCGTACTTTCCCCTAAATGGGATCCCGGCATATTAGGGGGCGACATTTTCTGCTGTTTCACCATGCCGGTCCTGAGGAGTGAGTTTTAATCAGGTAATGCAACCAAGCGATTTCCAATGGTATCCCTGAGATTTGATTAGAGAGGAAAAAAGGCCAAGGCCTAAATAAATAAATGGATTTTAGGATTAAGCATAACAACTTTTTAAAAAAATATTTGTTCATTTGAAAAGCGGATCTACAGAGAGAGAGGGAGAGATAGAGAGATCTTCCATCTGTTAATTCACTCCCCAAATTGCCACTGTGGGCAGAGCTGGGCCAGGCTGAAACCAGGAGCCAGGAGCTTCTTTGAGGTCTCCCATGTGGGTGCAGGGGCCCAAGCACTTGGCATTCTCCACTGCTTTCCCATGTACATTAGCAGGGAGCTGGATTGGGAGCATCTGGGACTCAAACTGGCACCCGTGTGAGGTGCTGGCACTGTAGATGGCAGCTTACCCAACTGCGCCATAGCCCTAGCCCTTTTACCAATATCTTTATGCTCCACAAGTTCTTTTTGAATGGATGTTTGGTATGGCGTTAAGATACCACTTGGGGTGTGCCCACATCCTATTTTGGAATGACTGGATTTGAATCTTAGCTGTGCTTTCAATTCCAGCTTCCTGATTGTACCCACCCTGGGAGGCAATAGGTGATGATTCAAGTAGTAGAGGTCCTGCCTTCCGCATGGGAGATCCAGATTGAATTTTGGGTTGTTGAAAGCATTTTGGAAGTATACCTGTAGCTGGTGTTGTGACTCAGGAGGTTAAGCTGCCAGCTGTATACCAGAATCCCATATGAGCACCAGTTCAAGTCCTAGCTGCTCCACTTCTGATCCAGCTCCCTGCTAATGTACCTGATAAGGCAACAGATGATAGCCCAAGTGCTTGGTCCCCTGCTAGCCATGTTGGAGGCCCAGCTGGAGTTCCAGGCCCCTGACTTAGGCCTGACTCAGCCCTAAGCATTGTGGCCATTTTGAGAGAGAACCAGCAGATGGAAGATCACTATCTGTGTGTTTCTGTCATTGCCTTTCAAATAAATAAAGAAAAAAAAATTAAAAGCCTCAAAATTATTTTGACTTTTTCCCATAAAATAATTTTTAAGTAAATTCTGTATAGTATTTCTGTACAGTCCTTCCTTCATCTTGTTAGTCTCTACCAAGTTAAATCTTCTGATTTCAGATGGCAACCAGGACCCTTAAGGTGGGTCTTGGGGTAGGTGTGGAGTTGCCTCATTGAGTCATAATGCCTCATGAGAAAATTGCAGCAGACACTGTCACTCATAGGCTTACATTCATGTTTTATTCCCCAGAAACTTTAATAAAATGTGTGTGCTATTTCATCTCTTTTGCTATCCAAGCCAGGCTGAGGATTGTTAAGCCCAGGTGATCCTGGACTCTCACTTTCGTTGTCCTAACTCCAGTTTCTGGTTAACTGGAGTGATTACTGGCCAATATACTTCTTGACCCAGTGTCTGTGGGACATCTGAATGGACCTCCCTGGTCTCTGGCCCATTGGCTGGATCTATGGAAAGTAGCACAGAAAGAACTTCCTTGAAGCAGATCCAAGCGACATTTTCTCTTTTAGAAAAGAAAAGATATCAAGAGCAGGGAGCGCTGACGGGTGGTAACTCCTGTCACAGTGATTTCTAGCCACAGTAACTCCACAATTGACTGGATTCCAGGCTCAGCTTGCAATACCAACAGCTTTTTGCTTTTTTACCGACAGTTTCTGAGTTATTGCTGATATTTGCTATTCACATTTCTCTTTTTTTATTTTTATTTATTTATTTTTATTTAGTAAATATAA